ATCCAATTCTTCGCTTGCGCGATGCGAGAAAACCTGTTTAACCAGTACTCTAGAGTACAAATACCGCGTGATATTTGTATTCGTCTATGGCGTTATTCGTACTCGATGAAGTGTAGTTGGATAATAAATATACTTACCTCAGTAGTAAGGCCATAGTGGTGATGGTTATAGGTGACATCCTTAGTTTTTAGGTACGTAATGATCTCGTCCGGCGCAGATCTGAAGAGGCGGCTGGACTTGTATCCTAAGAGTATTAAATAAACGAATAAATAGTGCATTAAATTTTTGGTATGCAAAGAAAACAGATTTTATTATGTAATTAATCTGTGTTCTGATTCTTAAAAACATTTTCACGCCTTTTTTCCCAGTGAGTGAGCTTTTGCTTTTCACCTGCGACTCAGTTTCCTGGTAATTAACCAAACTTACTTTGAAGTTTACCCATTTCATCCACAATTATAGGTCCACAAGTTCCCTTAGGGTTCATGCTTCACACAGAATGGGAAATGAAAAAACTAAAGATTTTTCCTTTAGGGACAAAGTCTACTTACGCTAGTGAAAAATAGGGGTAAGTTTCCATAGAGAATGTCAGGGCAAATGTAATTTTCGTGATCCCAACTAGCTCCAACTTAGTCCCTTTGGATAGCAACTTCTTAACCACGATCTTCTTATTTTTAAATCCTTTCGTATCCAGAATTTTCTAACCCGAAAATCCCGAAATTTTGCAATCCCCTTCTTGTAACTCTATTGAAAATGCAACCCTATTATAGTCAATCCAGTCGCAAAAAATTCGACCCCATGCTGCGACAATCCCTAATGGACAAAAGACTAAGACCAACTCTCCCACTCCCTGGGATTTTTACCAACTGTAACAAACGCACCGGCAGATTATCAGCATTTGTTTACTTGAACAGTGTTTGCGTCATTTTCTGACAATTCAGATAGGTGTACAAAACGAAAACTCGTAAATAAAATGACCCAGAGACACTCGCAGACTTGGAAAAAATGACTAATTGGGTGCGAAAACTTTTTAAATAGGCTGAGGTCGGGTGTAGACTGGGAGTACAGTACGATTTGAACCGCTGAAAAACGTTGCAACACCAACCTTCACTGAAATTCAACGGAACGCTGAAATCCACCCCATCCACAGATGACATAACATGTTTATCATTGGCAACAAGTTGACAGAGAAGTTCAAACCCAAGGCATGTTCCCCAAATTGGAAAGATGTCTCCAGCATCATTGGCCTGCTTTGCCAGGTTAAAGAGTGTTTTGCCTGTCCTTTCATAAGGTGAATCATAGATGCTGACTGCACCACCAGGTAATAAGACACTGAAATAAAATCAAAGGGGCCAATATTCCCTGTGTTTTATGTTTAAATTTGGTTTGAACATCAGCATATGTCAGATCATGCAAAGAACTTACGTCGACTAAACCCAAATTTAAGTTGAAAGCCAAAAATTGCCGGTCGTTTAACCTGTCAAAGTGGCTCACTATCTGAAGGCCTGTAGGCCCGTTCGCCCAGGCCTTCAATTTGTTTTCGGTCCACCTCACTTTCCTGAAATAATTCTTACAAAGTTGAAACAAAAACTGAACTTTCTCGGGGAACAGGCCGATACTACATGTCGAAAATTGGCTACGCTCCTATCATTACTCCATCTTACCCGTTGATTGAATTGAAGAGATTTTCCAACTGATCCTCGGTCATGTTGTTTCTGTGATAAGTTAACTGAAAAAGCTCAAGTATTTTTATTTTCAATATGTGGTTAAAACACTAGCGTAAACTCCTGGAAAGCTATCGATATCTAGCCAGCCAGATGATACTTCAGGAATAAACCGCGATGGCAGAAAGCGACCCCAAAACACGAAACGAAAACCCTGAAAGACGAAAACAAAAACCGTCAAACACGGGCACGAAGAACGTAAAACACGAACACGAAGAACCCAAAACCCAAACTTGACTGAAGAGCCGGCGAAACATATCGCAAGAACCTAAAACACCAAAACGAAAACTTTTAAACACGAACAAGAAGATCCTCAAACCGTCGCATTTTCCTCATGAACCGGCCATTGTAACATATCAAGTTTAACACCACCGTATGTTTTAGCTCGTAAAACTCAGGTTATGTAAATGATACGACGACATTCTACATTTCTGCGGCAAACGCTAGGCGGTACATTTTCTGGTAAATTCTCAGAAATCCATCCTCGACTGACAACTCTATTGGTTTAAGAGCAGGGACTTTCATTTTTTACTCAGCGCTACAAAGCCTACACTGAAGTCAAAGCTCGTGATTCTGTTCAAACAACGAAGAAAAGCGACCGAAAGACACTATCAATCTCCGTTATTCGGTTTTATTTCAGCAACAGAGTTCATGTGTCTGTATGTGAAATGTGCAAATCAAGCGGGCCTTTGTAAAAACTTGGCATACTGCATGTCTTATAAGACTACATTTTCGAATTCGCATGATATAGACCATGGCTCTCATATGTTCTTCACCTGTTTTGGACCGTTAGATCATGCATTAATTATTGTTTTGTCGAGTTTAAATTTGGGGAACCTGCCGTCAGAGACGTAATAACATGGTGCCTAAACACAGTCGATTGATGTTAAGAAAAAAAATGTTATGTTGACATTTAGACACGGTGAAAAAGCTTTTTTAAAATTTTCTCTCTCGCCTCAAAAGATAAATTGTTTTTAACCAACGGTTTTAACCAAGAAACGTTGTGGATGATAAGCTTTTTGGACAATCAGTTTTAGGACTTAAACGAAACCTAGAAGATATTAACTAAGATGCATAAACTAAGAAATACATCTACTACATCCAAAAGGCGCCATTATTTCTGTCGACAAACCCTAGCTTTGTGCTAGAGAACCATAAGACAAAAACATTTTACTTTTTGGACAGGTGTGTTTTTTTGACCATTAAATTAATTCCAAAAAAGACATTTCGTTCCTACCATAGAACCTCAACTTACACAACACGCTATAAAGAAACAAGAGGAAACTCAAATCTAACTTCACATCTGAACAATAGGGTGATATCTGGTAAAAATATCTTCTTAAAAAAATTTTCCTAGAGGCTTTTCTTTCCTTTACTGCCATTGTTTGATGCTCCCTCAAGGAAGAACCACACATTTTATTGTTTTCTTGGAAACATGTCAAACGATACCGAATCGGTACAACTCTTCCTCCTGCAGATTCTATGTACTTGACGTAACTGGCGCCAATATAAGTTCGCCCAAAAGTCTCCACGTGGCCACGTGTCGTCTGGGCCAGGATTCCTATCCAAAGAATGTGACACATTGTAATAAAAGAAAGCATTGTTACATCATTGACTCAACAACAGTTATATTTCGAGAACTTTGTGCTTCCATCAGAAGTCAGTACTGTATACCAATAAAAAAAAAAAAAAAAAAAAAAAACTGCCAAGCACTTTGCAAAAAAAGAAAAGAAAAAAAATCAGAAAAAAAAAAAACATCTTCAACTCTTCTGGAAATGAAATTTGCCTTGAGAAGTATCAAGCTATTGACAGGGATTCTGTAAGTGTAGATGCCCAAAATATCACTTCAAAACTTACAGGCCGAGCAGACCAGGGCAGGGATCAAGGTCTATAAAACAGTATGGAAGTCACAGGATAAGATTGATTAAAGAAGCGTACTAAACAGAGATTCGATACAATAATTAATACCATAGATAATGAATTCAAATTACTTTACGTATGTTTATGACCCATTTTCAATTTTTTTACCACGTTATTTAGTCGTTTTTCGCAAGTTTTAACATCGCATACATGACTTAATAGAACGTCATTTCTCGGCAGATTTTATAAATTAAGAAAACCAAAATAAAAGAGGATCGTATCTCCTCGAATTTGTTTTCCTTTTTTCATCTAAGTCTGGTGGAATCATTGTAATTTTAATCAATTTGTAACATTCATGAGTGATAGACAGTTTGAAAGGAGAAAAGAAAATGAGATCTTGACTTACCTATTATGGGCCAATCTGTTTTCACTGTAGGAGAGAGTGTCTTCTCTTCGAACGAACTGAAAAACTGAGGTCGAGTCTCGACAACATCGTTCAGCATAAAAGTACACAAAACAAACACAACCGCTGTAATCAGAGGCATTTTCGATACGTTTCCTTATCGAAACAGACCAACTTTTATGCTGTGTGCTTTGCAAAGGCAAAATGATCGATCACAAGCTTTCTTCGTGACTTAATGATGAAAAGAAAATTAAGCACGTTGGCCTTTGTTACCAATCTCCGCGCATCGACAGGAGTTTCATAATAAAGCGGGCCGACTGTTGGCCTGGCGACCAGTGATTAAGGCCAGTGATGTAAAGAGAAAGTCACGGCTAAACGTAGGGCTCCCATTAAGCTCAATTTTTCTGACTCTTCATTCTTTATCATTTCAATTTACACGCATGTGGAGGTGTCAGCAAGATGCTAGACCAAAATTTCCATCATGAAAATTGCTCTCAACCATCAGACCTGTTACATGAAAACTAGACGACATACACCCAAAGCATGCTGACGCCGAGATTTTTTAAAGTCAGGCTTAACATCTTACGATATTTCGAGGCATTTTTTTAAAAATTTTTTATAGGAAGTTTTAGCTATGGTCAATCTCTCATTCACGCTAGTCTTTGAGAATCGAGCCGGCCCGTTTTGCACGCTAGCGGGAGGTCTAGAAGGGGTCTGGCACTGAGAAATGAGAGCCACACAGCTTGTGGGCTTCTCAGAAGCACCCGAAACAAAACATCATGTACCGCATTTACTGGGGTGGCAAAACTTCGTCCTCAATTCGAAGGGGTTTCACGCGTAAATTTTAGAATCCGTGAAGTTGGTGCATGACTCCCTCATGATATTTTTCCACCAATCACAGTGCAAGGGAGGAAAATAATTCACATTCATTCGCCAACAACCTAAAAAGTACATCCAACCGTAGCCAACCTGAATGGTCGCGGCCCGCGCAAACAGCTGGAGTTTCCGTTCCCCTTCTTAAAACACGCAAAACAGCGTACAAAGTATCTTTATTCTATTTTGCCGGTGTATCTACATAATTTTACCACGATTCTAGCACATAACTAATTACTTTTTCTTTTAACCTAAATTTGCTGTAGTAGATAGATTACGTCGTATAAATTTATAAAAGTTAACCCAACCCCTACCAATTATCAAAACTACTGTAAAAGTACAAAAGGTGCCAGTAATTCAAATGATGACGCCAAACATTTTGACCTTTCCTTCAATCTAAGAATGGCCTATTTTCACGTGCCTTCACTTTGAGTTATCTTTGGTTAATTTATATATTTTTCCCTCTTCTAGTTCGGCGTTGCGATAACTCTGGGTTTGGTTCTACCATACTCAAAGCGCTTTATCTTACTTAGCCACTTAAAAGAAAATTGCCAATTATGGTAAAAAAAATTCTCGAACGTTATTGGATAGTACAGACTTAATAAGTAAAATAGCACCGCGTACGCGTCAAATTCACAATTGGACAATCTAAGCATCATACACTAAAAATTTTCAATTTTTTGCAGTTAATTAGTAAAAGAAATCACCACTAAAAGGATTCCACAGTAAATACTTAAGCCTATGACGGACACACTTTCAAAACCTTTCGAATTTCTTTATGAGGCACGAGCCACAAGCCACTACTGAGCCGCTTTTAGAAAATGTAGCACTGCTCAAAGTGTGTTATTTCGGGTTCACAGTAGATTGGATCATAGTGGTAAATCAAAGCAGCATCTTCTTCTTCCTTGCTTGAAAACCTGTGTTCACTCAGACGAGCTGAGAATGGAATCACAATTTAATCCCTAAACCAAATGTTTATTTCCCTTTGGGCCTAGAAGTCTTGGAATATTTCATGCGGTGGCAGGTGGTTGAGACACCCCTACCCCCTTGGGTTGTCTTTAGGTTGTCTTTTCATTAAAGGATTAATATGGAGGACAAAACATACTGACCGTAATTTCACTATAGGGATGAAACCCGGTTTAGGCAGGGTTTGAATCAACCTTGGAGAGTCAACTACTTTTTTCTTGTCCCTGACACATGACAAATCTAACACACCTTTCTTAGCTGAAAACTTGGCTTTCCTGGGGAAACTGGAGGGGAAGGATTTACTCTCTTGAGCTTGTTCAAGACAGCATAAATGGGGGTTAAAGTGACGAAAGAATGAAATGATAACACAATGAAATGGGAAATGAATAATGCCAATCAGACCACAGGCAGCCCAAGCTCACACCTAGGAAAAGCGGGCATGACTTACCGTGTTGCGCAACGTTTTATATTTATAAAGGTTTGTATGGGATGTTATCGGTTTGCCTTAAAAGAGAGAAAAAATGTCTTGTTTTGAAATAAAATGGACTTACCTTATTGCCTTGTTGTTCTCTTTGTTGATTCCTAGCGTCTCAAGCCATTTTGAAGCGTTTTCGGCGAGTTAGCGCTGTGTTGGTGTTCAACTGCTAAAAGAGTTGAACACCAACATAGCGCTCACTCGCCGAAAACGCTTCAAAATGGCTTGAGACGCTAGGAATCAACAAAGAAAACAACAAGGCAATAAGGTAAGCCCATTTTATTTCAAAACAAGACATTTTTTTCTCTCTGTTAAGGCAAACCGATAACATCCCATACAAACCTTTATAAATATAAAACGTTGCGCAACACGGTAAGAGTCACGTCCGCTTTTCTAGAAGTGAGCTTGGGCTGCCTGTGATCAGACTGTGTGACTCAGGCACTTACCTTGGTTGACAAAAAAATCTGCCACATACTGCGTAACGGCTACCGCCTCTTTAGAGTGATTTATGGCCTCATGAAGGGTCCATTCAAAGGAGTTCTTTTCAGGATGCCATTGAGTACCATAAAATGGATAATCATAAGCTATTAATGGGAGGTGAGAAATATTATGTGAGACCTTTGGTAAAATATGATCGTCCATGAAAAAATCCATGCATAGAGGATGTGCAGTCAAACTTTCCCGAAATGGCCACAGAGATGGATTGGGTAAAAGTTTAGCATGGGGCATCCCCAGCCTCACATTTAGAATGGTGGACCACAGTCAAGAGGTCTAGGTTTGGAGACCTCGTCAGGTCATTGCATTATGTATTTTGAGCCCTGCCACAGTGCTTCTCTCCATGCAGGAGTGTAAATGGGTATTGCAAAAACTGTTAGGAAAGCCCTAACTGTACCTTCAATTGTTGATAAAAACTCCTTTCCTTCCTTGCCTCTGTTGGTTGACAGACATTTGTAGAACTTCTTCAATTGCTCATCATTTGAATATGTCTAAAATGGTAATATTGCGGGGTCACTATTTTTGCAAAAAAAGTCTTCACCCTTCAAACACAAAAATAATGAGAACATCAGGTAGTAGACTGATATCCCGAGAGGGCTTCAAAGGTCAATTACAAAAAAACAAATGAACAGGGAAAAAAAGAACATAAAGTGGCTGAAAAGTTAAGCTGGCAGAAAATTGCCGGTATGGGGTGACACAGTTGGTTATCCATGAAGAGTTGAGCTGATGAACTCGGGAGGGAAGAAACCAAGCTGAGGTGAGGGCTTGGATGGGAAGTGTCATGATCCAAAATCATCTCAGATGTGCTTCTACCAGCCTCCTTAAATATTGCCACACTATTTACAAGACAACAAGTATGTAGCTAATGTCCTGAATTGTGAGAATTAGTAGCTGATGATTTCCATGAAACTACTTTTATTTATTTAATTAATTTTTCACTTGTTTAATCAACAACTTATTTAAATTTGGAAGGAGAAAATAAATGTTAATCAGTATCAAAAATATGTGGCATGCTTCTGGTAATACTTGCCCGGTTTTGTATCAAATAAATTGATTTCCCTCCGTTTTTCACAGTTAACCTGGTTACCCAATAAAGATAAATATAAAGATATCAAAATCCAGACCCCCCCCCCCAAAAAAAAAAAATGGTTAAAATTTCCACCAGTTTTAGAACAAGAGGGTTACAAAATCACCCTTCAATTGCCCTTGCAGAGCCTTTTTATGGGATTAGCCCTCTAATCTAAGAATAATGTAGCCTAAAATAATGATATGCTTGCCTCTGTAGATATACACTTCTGGTGGTGGTTGTAAGTAACATTGTCTGTTTTTAGGTAAGCTATTATTTCTTCAGGTGCAGATCCCAAAAGGCGACTGGACTTGTAACCTAGAGGTATCAAAGAAGCAGGGATTCAAGATCTCATACTGAGAACACTACTAAATAAATTACTTTTTAATTAATAAAAAAAAATCTATTGTTTAAATTCTCACCTTCACTGATATTCAAAGGAACACTAAAATCTACACCATCCACAGGCGATGTAATTTCTCTTCCACCAACTCCTTGAACACTGAGAAATTGGAATCCCAAGCAAGTTCCCCAGAGTGGAAAGACATCTCCGGCATCATTGGCCTTCTTTGCCAGATTAAAGATTATTTTGCCTGTCCTTGAGTAAGGTGAATCATATATATCTGCTCCACCACCTGGAAATAATACTCTAGATCCAAATAAAAACACATAAAGAGAAATTTAGTCATGAATATTTATCAAATTTCCTGTTGTTCAAATGTCTCTTTGGTTTAAGATTTTTTAAACTACTTTCATTGATTTTACTTTTTCTTTGGCTTATATTGATAACTATAATTATGGTTTGAAATAAACAGGAACTGGTGAGAGAATTTTTGATCAAACAAAGCTTTGAGCAACAACATGTATTCTAAACTTGTCAAAGGGTTTATTATTGCGGTACAGGTAAGCATGATACCTTTAATTTACATTCTTGGGTAAATTTATTAAACTCAAGAATAGCTGGGATATGGCACAATACATTTCCAAAATTATGTGATTGTTCTGAAAATGTCTTCTTATAAATGGGCTAACCAACTAACAGTCTCAATTAATTTAAATTTGTTCATTACAACAGTTTACCAGTGCACACTAAGTTAAAACTGAGACTTCTTAGAGTCACCTCACCCATTGATCGAGCTGAACAAATCTTCTAACTGGTCCTCTGTCAAGTTGTTTCTGTTATTAGTTAATAAAAATATCTCTCTCATAATATCAATTACATGCAATCATAATGATACTTAATGACACTCCAACAGCTACTGATACTCCAAGTCTCATCCACCAATCCTGACTCCTCAGTAGCTGATTTACTTAACTATACAGTCTGGCAAAAATTTGCAATAACCGGTAAATATTTTGATCTTGGAATTACTCATAAACCTAATTAACTATCCCCTGACTAATCAACAATTAATTAATATGCACTGTGCCATGGCAAACTTTTATAATATGTGTAAGGAGAAAAGGGAGGAAAAGATATAGCTGGTTAATGCATTCAAAAAAAGAGTTTTGCTTGTGGAAAATTTTGCATGGTCCTGATGAATGCTGGTCCAAAACAATATTCTCAATATTGTTTTGAGCAACAACATGTATTCTAAACTTGTCAAAGGGTTTATTATTGCGGTACAGGTAAGCATGATACCTTTAATTTACATTCTTGGGTAAATTTATTAAACTCAAAAATAGCTGGGATATGGCACAATAAGTTTCCAAAATTATGTGATTATGTCATTTCCTAAAGCACTGAAAAGGAGAATTTATATTACAATCAAGAGCTTCTTAAGTTGGTGACCACAACCTTTACTCTCGTGACCTTTATGCAGACCTTCCAACATCTAAAACCTCCAAATCTTAAGGTCTCCAAAATTTACCCAAAAAATCTTGAGATTTGGGTCCCAAAAAGTGAGATTTACAAAAATGTTTTAAAACGAAGGAATCTCAACGTTAACAATACCCAACAGTGTTCAAACTGCCATAATTCGTGCCCTTTTAGCATCACTGGACACAAATTTGACATTTTCAGAGAATCGCTCATTTTGTTCTGTCATCTTGAACACATGAAAGAAAGCCATCCCAAGCAACTTCACACTCTGATTGAACATCAGAGCAAGGTTTAAAAATAGCTCGGCCCAGATTCCCAGTGAGAAGAAATGTCTGGGGCCATTTGCAACTATTATTTTATAAACTGAGTTGATTATCACTGAGGTTGTAATTCATTGTGGAAAACCGTGAGACCATTAAGAGGAGTCCTGAAATCGTGAGTGTCACGACCACATCGTGAGAGTTGGAAGGTCTGTTAATGTGTGATTGGGGGGTGATGTTGTAAGGAGAAATTGAATGCTGGTCACTCTTAGGGATCAAAGGGTTAATAATTAACTTGAAGTCTTCATCATTGGAGAACTTAGGAATCAACTATTCCACAGACCAGACTACTAAATGTGACGGTTCACAGACAAATTAAATAAATAAATAATTTAGCAATGGACATTCCATTCCCCATTTCAAAAACGAGTGGAGGAGTGGGTCGAGCGCTCACCACGAAAGTTTGTCTGGGATTGTTACTCGGGACACAAATCTGTAGTAAACAAAGAATTGCGTCCCGAGTAACGATCCTAGACAACCTTGCGTGGCGAACTTGACCCACTCCCCCACTTGTTTTTCAAATGGGGAATTGGGTGGCTCTTCTCGTCCACTGTTTCCAGACTGAATTGGAATTTGGAATGTTGGTTTTTGCAGAGGGAGGACAACCAGAGGATCCAGAGAAAAACCCTCAGAGCAAGGATGAGGACCAATAACAAACTCAAACCACATGTAATGCCAGGTCCAGGAAACAAACCTGGGCCACAGTGGTGGGAGGCCAGTGCTCTCACCACTGCACCATCCCTGCTCCCCCCAAAAAAACATTACCCTTGACTCTGAGAGTGGCTTCTGATTGATTTGTTTCAAAGTGTGTACTGTTTTCCACTGACAACAGCCCTTTTCATGCCTGTTAATTCTAAGCGAAAAAAACTACCTACCTACCCTTGCTGAGGTAATTACATTTTACAGCAGACTGAACTTGGTCTATGACTGTCAATTCTAATCCAAAAAACAGCATATTCAATCTGACCCATAAGCTTTCCAAGTGAGAAAAAAATTTCAGAAGATTACACTTTAATAATTTGTTAAAGGATACCTAATTGGTACAACTCTTCCTCCAGCAGATTCTATGTATTTGATGTAAGAGGCAACAATGTATGCTGGGCCAAAAGTTTTCTTAAGATAGCCATATGTGTTTTGGGCCAGGATGCCTATCGATGATAAAACAAAACACAATATGTTATGAATAAATGCAAGACTGCATTCTGCAATCATCACCATTGCAGAGAAATAAGACTTTCTAATGGAATATCAATTTGTCTCAGCAGAAAGACAGTGAAGAAAATTTGCTCCTCTTAATTCTCACAAAATGAGACGTATGACTCTTCAGTTGCCAAAAAAAACTATGATTAAAAAATTACGTTTTTAGCTGAATAAACAATTAATGACTTCACACTTGCGCACTTTTATTATTTATTTCTTATTTTCTTATATTTCATAACATGTAAAATTTTCCTTTGACCTGCAAATAGTAAATGCTAGTCGAGACTTTTTGCGTTGCAGTTCATGTTTTAAGCTGGATTATTCGGTAAATAGCAGTTACCAAATTTTAGTTGCATGCAGCTTCAATTCCGTTTACCTCCTGCATTAATTTATCTGGAATAAATCTCAAAAACATATTGTATGCCTCCTTAAATAATTTTTTCGAAATTAAATAATAAATTGAACATAAACTTGTTATAGCGAATTGTACAAGCAGGATAAAAAATTAAAAGGGAACTCTTTGTTTTACCTCCTGCCAAGGATATACACCAAAATCATTTCATGATCGTAAGTTATCAGCATTCTGAATAAATTCTGCTAATATAGGTAACACAGTAACTGATGTTAGCCACGTGATTTTGGGATCTCCTCGAAAAGAAAAAGATTTCGTATCAGATCATGATCGTGTGCATAACTCACCTATGATGGGCCGATCTGTTTTTATGTCGGAAGACAGAGTATTTGTTTGCAACAAGCTGTGGATTTGAGGTCGAGTCTCGCTTGGGACACTTAGCAAGCTAATAGCGAACACAACTGTTGTAATGAGCTGCATTATCGACACGCTTCCTTATCAACAACCCGAGGTCTGCTTGGCTAAACCAGTGAGGGCAAAGGTAGCTAAAAGCGACCTGGGACCACTTGAAATGCTCTCAAAACACATCACATGCCTCCATCGTGATTTAAACGTTCCAATATTGCTTACCAATCCCCCGCGCTTTCAGCGTAATTCAAAATGGCGGCACCGGTATTGAGAATTTCCAGAAGATGTCTTTGCTCTCAAGCCACTAAAACGCGTGTAACAAGACCAAGATCGCATATTGATAGAATAATTCGCGTAGACCATGCAGGAGAACTGGGCGCTGATAGAATATATGCTGGGCAAATGGCAGTTCTCGGAAAAACTAGCGTAGGACCAACCATTCAGGTAGATCTCAGTTTTTTGGAGCTTGATTTTTCTAAGTCTTTGTCGATGTTCTTGAAAGCTTAGAGGGAAAGTATAAACGAAAGCCTTAGCACCATTTTCTAGTCATCTTTCATCCAAAAGTCTTGTAACAGGTTCTTCAAAATAAGCTAGTGTATTCTGTTTGTTTGATTGTTTGTGTTTTTTTCACTAGTGTATTGTCTTACATAAGTTATGTAAGATACAATGAATATATGAAGTTCATATATTTTGAACTGCGGTATTAGATACGTATGATGCACGATCCTCGCAGTAGAGAGCGCTATTTATGCAATAGCGAAAATCAGACCTGAAAAAATCAGGCCTGTACGGGATTCGAACCACTGACCTCTGAGTTCAGCACTCTACCAATTTTAGGCAGGCCTGCTCTCAGTTGGCTTGTTAGCTCAATTGGTAAAGGGCTGCACTAGTATCACAGAGGTCAGTGGTT